TGACCTGGGCCCTAAAGCCAACAACCACAGTGCCGCAGAAGTTCACACCTGTCCTCAGGCTGGCACCTGTTCCACCCCTGCGCCCCTCTCCACGGTACCAAGCTCACACTGGGGGTGACTGACTCTCTCCAACCTCTGCCCCCCAACCCAGGAGACAAACAGTCCTTCCTTGGGGGACTTCGGGAATCATTCTGGCTTAAGCAACACCTTCTTCTGCTGCCCCATCCCCTGCTGTCTCACCTGTGCCAAGCTTTGTTACACTACACACCTCCTCATGGGGCTCCGGGTGCCCATTGCACTGCAGGCATGCTGGACAAGAGGCCACTGAAATCCTGCCCGCTTGTCGGAGAGCTGTGAATGCGGGGAGGGGGTGGCCTCAGGAATGATAGTGGTGAGGGCCTGTCCCTGCTCCCTTCCCTCGCCTCCCTCCTTCCCGTGTTCCATTAAAGTCTGTTGTTTTGTGAAAGCTGCCAGTGTGGTCGGCCCTGCTCCTGCAGGCCACATGGACCGGGGCGGGAAGGGAGACATGGAAATGCAACGGGGTGGGAGGCAGGACCTGAGGCCCTCATGACAGGGACCTCAAATACCCCTGGCGGCTTTTCTTTCCCGGACCTGGCACCACCGCCGCCCCCCACTGAGGAGCAGATGGAGCCTTCCAGGGGGCTGCCCCTGAGGATACTCCTGACAGCAACAAGGCAGAGCCTGGGGGTGCAGCAGCAAAGTGGCTTGGAGCCCCAGCCCGCCCCGAAAACGCCAGGCTACCCCGTCTCTCCTGTCTGACCTGACCTGGAGCTCGGGGAGTGGCCCAGGAGAGCCCTTGCTCTGGGCGTGGCCTGCTGCCGGAGACAGTTGGCAGCCCCTCCCCGCCCCCAGGGCCCTCTGGTGCGGCTCTGCTCGCTCCCCTGCCCTAGTACATCTCAGCCCCAACATGCTCCCGCTCGTCATGCCTAATTGTTCCGTGGTGGTTCGGGAAATGTTTTTTCTTTTCTTTTTTTATGAAATAAAATTTTATATTATAAATTTAATATACTTTCAGAACATTTAGAAAATAAGAGAAAGTCACCCGTAAGCCCACTACCACTCACTTCCCAACCCAAACACTGACAGTATTTTGGTGTGTTTCCTTCTAGTATTTTTTCCAAGGGTCTGTTTTATACATAGTTGAATCGGTGTGCTTTGTACTTGGTTTCTTTCTTGTAACACTACGTCATTTTCTATGTCGATACCTAACCTTCATTTAAAATGGCTGCTTACAGTCCCCTTCAGTGGCTTTGCCATGATTTACGTAATCATCCCTCATTTAAAAAAAAAAAAGTTGTTTATTGTTTGCAAAGCTAGGTTATTTTCATTTTTTCATGGGCTAGAAAAAAAAATTAAGGAACTCCCACACTTGACTATGCCACTGTTTTCATTTAACTGATCTCATTTCATCACTTATCACAATTTTTATGTAGATATTATTTATTTCCATTATACAGAAGAGGAAACGCAGGCTAGGGGTAAGGGAGTCACCCAAGGTCACACTGCAATTTTAGTGGCAAGATTGGGATTTGAACCAAGTGTCCTGACTCCAGCTGCCTCATTTACATTGTAGTCAGCGCTTAATGGCCTTTGCAGATAGGCTGACTGTCTTCTCTGTCCTTCCAATATAGGCACTTTAGAGCTAATCATGTTCCAAGTAGCACTGAGTGACCTATCCCGACCTACATATTTAGCCGTGTCCTGATGTCACCCCAAAACCCCAAAGACGGAGTCTTTCCTGTGGGAAGACGGGGGAGGCCCTGTCACTAGGCCTGTTTCTTCCCCCACCGACCTCTCCGCCACCTCCCCATCCAGGGTAGGTCACGGCACTCTCCAAGGGCATAATGGATCTAACTCCTTGCAAAGAGCAGCTGGACCAAATGTCCCAGGACTGGCCTAGGGATGAAGCCATTCCAGGTGGGGATTGACCCTGAGACGCAGCTTGACGCATTCAGTGGTCCTCTTTTTCAAGAAGGCTCAGCCGGCTCCCCGCTCCAGCCCTGCCCTTTGGGTCTCTGCTTCTCCCAGCAACCTCGCTCGCTGTGCTGTGCTGTCCGTCTTCTCCCCCAGCCCCTCCCGTGGCCCAGTTGGCACAGAGGCACAACCCTCAAAGCTGGAAGTGACCTCGGGTGTGTATACCAAATGCCACCTTTTTCTTTTTTCTTTTAAAGCACATTTTTGTAGACTTTTAATTTTGAAACGATTGTAGATTTACAGTCGAGTCACAAAGATTGGACAGGCAGTTTCCCGTTGCCTTCAGCTTCCTCTCATGTTAACACGGTACATAATCAAAACTAAGAAATTGAGTTCAATACAACACTATTAACTAAGCAACAGACTTTATTGGGATTCTACCAGTTTTCAACTAATGTCTGTTCTGTTTCAGAATCCACCTGTGCCTGAATCACACAGATGGCCTAGACGGTAGAGGTGGCTCCCCCAGGTCACTCAGCAAGCTGGTGGCAGAGGGCAGGCTGAAGCCTCCTCCTCCCTGTACCTGAGGCTACTGCCCTCCTTGCCTTCCCACTAACGAGGGACAGGGTTTGCTACTCTCTGACTTCAGCGTCACAGACACCCTTGCCCCACCCTTCCCGCCCATCCCTGTCCCTGTTTCCGAGGTTGCCTACACTGCCTTCTTGTACACGTGCTTACACAAACACTAGGGTCTACATGCCCTGAATGGGCTGGCGCAGCCTTCGCCCCTATGGGTGCTGTACTGCACGGACCCTCTCATCCACCACCCCCACCAGCCAATGCTCTTCCCTCTCTGGGAATGGACAGCGCAGAGCAAACTCAATGGAGACTGTTCTTTGTTTCTGGTTCTGTAGGTTTCTATCTCAGCAGCTCCTCCCTGCCTCAGCTTTTCCCGTTCTGTCTCTGGGCCTCTCCTGCCTCAGTCTGGTGTGTGCTCTCCTTCTCCCAAAAGCCTTGAGAAAGAGTGTTTTCTGTTGTCTCCTTCAGCTCTCGGGAAGGGCTGGTACACCCCCTCGAGGGCCTTGCCGGTGCCGCCCTTCACAGTTTACAAGCGACTTTCACGTTGCCTCATGTGCTTCTCACCACAGGGGTGATTAGGTCCACTTCACAGGAGTGCTTTTCCCAGTGATAATGGGGGGAGTGGAGCCAGGGTTTGTTGTAGTCTTTGCTCTTCCAGGCAGTCAGGCAGTCTGGTGTTTATCTTAGGCTGCCTCTGAGGCTTTCAGAGCCCTGCCCAGACATGACCTCATTCTCTCTCAAATCATCCCCCGGAGGCAAGAAGGAGTCTGGGACCCATGCTGTCCCCACTTCACAGATGGGAAAACTGGAGCATAAACACACACACACACACACACACACACACACACACACACACACACACACCACAGCAACTACATTGACAAGTTGCTCTGCTGTCCTGGAGTCCTGACTCTCAGTCCCTTGAGTTCAGTTGTTTGGGAGGTGAGAGGTCTAGGGCTGGAGGGCAGCAGTATTCACCAAGTGCCTCCTAAGATTGCAGGCCCACTGTGCATCCCGCACAGCCTAATACAGGGCCGTATCTCCAGAGAACTCGCAGTCGCTTCAGTTTGTGAGAAGGGCCTACAGAGGTTGATCTGGTGTGGCTGGAATTCCTGAGTAAAAGCTACTTCCGAGTTGGCCCTGGCGGCACATTTCACGAAAGCGGGCCTTTGTGTGGTAGCAGGAGGGCGCAGCGAGGGGGCTGGTGGGCTGCCTGGTGATGGTGACCGATGCTGGGTTACCCACAGAGCTCCTCCCGCGGCGGCTCACCTTCCCAACAAACCTGTGAAGGAACAGTTGTGAGCCTATTCTATAGATGAGGAAACTGAGGCCCACGCCTTTTCCAGGGACACAGAGCCAGCCAGTGAGCAGAGGCCTGGCATCTGGCTCCAAGTCCAATGCTTTGCCTGATCCAAGAAGCCACTGTCCCCTCAGGTGCACCAAGCCAGCAGGAAGGAAAGGGAAGACGTAGCTGAGGACGAGGAGCCCAGGCTTGGCTGGCTTCACAGTTTCACTCCAGCTGGCCCTGCCTTCCTGTCCTGAGAGGAGGTTAAGGGAAGCTCTGAGGAGGAAAGGTCAAGTTGGGAGAGAAGCAAGAACTAGCCAACACCCACACCCTACTCTCCATGTGGCTTCCTGAGCCAGCTGGGTGTGGGGGCAACAGAGACGCAGACGCAGGGCTCTCAGTCTGCAGGGGAGAGGGCCTTGAAACTGCGTGGGAAACGGGGTGGGCAGGAGGCCGGGACACTGGCGAGGGCTATGCCTGCCTATCCCCGGCCCCCTTTCTGCCCCAAGTCCCCTCCTCTCATCATGAGCCACACCTTGATCATCCCAGTCCTGCTCTCTTCCTCCTCTGAGCACTGTCACACCTCCTGCCCAAACCAATCATTTAGCACTTGACTTATAACACTGAGTTGACTTTTTTTAAAAAAAACCTGTCTATGTCTACCTCCCCAACTATTGTAGTTCAGAATCTCCTCCAAGGCAAGAGCTATGTCCCCACCCCCCACTACAGTGACATTTAGTACATTTTTAGTGAAAAAAAAAGGGGGGTTATTGGGGGGAGTGATCGTTTCGGGGAATGCAGTGATATGTTTATGACCAAAGCTGGACAGTGGGTCCCAGCCTCGCCCCGGGCCTCCGTGACGTTATCGGTCTTGTTGTGACGCTACCGTCGCCGGCCACTGTGGCTCTCCGCAGCCTGCAGGCAGGATGACGTACCCGTCGAAACCGGTGCGGACTTGTGCGCGCTGGAGAAACTAGCAAGGCTGGCGGGTAGAGGTGCCAGGAGAGGGCGAAGGAGAACGGACACAGAAGCCGAAGCCGGGTGGGGTCCGCACAGCGCGGCTGGGAGTCTGGCCCTCTTACGGACTGGCTCCGCCCCCGCGGTGACCAGCCCGAGCCAGCCAATCCAGGCAGGCCGCGGGGACGCGCAGCCTATCAGAGGCCGGGACTCGGCCGGCGCTTCCTTGTTCGCGAGCACGCCCGGCGCGAGTCCGCGGGGGAGGGGACGAGGGAAAGGGCGACGCTTCGCGGACTGCACCACGTCGCACCCCACCTGGCTTGGCAGTTCAGCGGCACAAGGCCATAGCCTCCCAAGGGACTGGATGGCCTCGGAAGACCTGGCGGTGGAGCTGGCAGCGGTGCTGGGGGGCCGGGGGCTGTGCGTGCAGGTCTGTGACTCTGAGCCGGCCGAGGAGCCGCTGCCGCCTGTGCGGCTGCGGAGGAACGTCTGCTACGTGGTGCTGGCCGTGTGCCTCAATGAGCAGGTGAGCGTCCACCCGCCGGCTCTCCGGCCGGGTCCCGGAGCGCGCAGCCAGCCCCGTGGGGACAGAGGACCTACAGGCAGCAGCCACCACTTCTTTGTGGGTGGCGCTTTCCAGTTTTGCAAAGCACTCTCACTTAACACTGACATCTGAGCCTTGTGCGGCCCAGTCCTGCGATTGCCCAACGTACAGAGAAGGAAACCGAAGCCAGGAGCCTTTGTCTCATCCCACTAGGCCTCAGTTCCTTGAGGGGGGATTGTCTTATTCTTCATCCTTTCCCCAGAATCTAATATAGTGCCCGCCGCGGTGGAGTGGGCTCTCTTAAAGATCTGTGCAGTGCTGTAGAGACCTCCTTTCAGTTCCACGGACAGTAATGGCACAACCTGCGTTTACACTCAGACCTTCTCACCCCTGTATGATGCTCTTTTTGGTGCTGATTTCTGTACACATTGCTGTAACAACAGCTAGAAGGGACTAGGGCCATAGGTAGGAGTTGTACAGTGTGGGGGATGGGGGCATGTTTCAAACCCCAGACTTCAGTATGAGGACAGGCCGCAAGCAGGTTGTAAACCACGAGGGGAGTTGAGAGATACAGTGACATATGCAGACAGTGCAGGGCACATGGCTACCCCTATGGTGGGGCCTGATCCCCTGCCCTTGAAGCAACACCCTGGAATCTTAGCCCCTTTCTGAAACGGAAGTCTGAATGCAAAAGGATGAATTGCAGAGAGGCGCATCTGTAGCTAGCAGCCACAGAAGAGCCAGTCCCCAGGAGAACTCAACAGTTTGAAGGTGTCCACCAGTAAGGGGGTACTGGGTGACTGTGTTTGAGATTTCTGTCCTCAAGGCACAGGAAGGCTTCTGGCTGTGTTCCTCCTTTGGAGCCCCTAGCCTGGCTGTGTGGGGGTGAGGATCCTTTCTCTCCCTTCAGGATGAGGTGCTAATGATCCAGGAGGCCAAGAAAGAATGCCATGGGTCGTGGTACCTACCCGCGGGGAGAATGGAGCCTGGGGAGACCATCGTGGAGGCCTTACAGCGGGAGGTGAAGGAGGAGGCCGGGCTGCACTGTGAGCCTCTGACATTGCTGTCTGTGGAGGAGAGGGGCCCCTCCTGGATCCGCTTCGTGTTCCTCACTCGGCCCACAGGTACAGCCCCCCTAGTGGCAGTGTGGGCATGGGACCCCAGCTTGACCTCCAGTGAGATGAGCCCCTAGTGTGGCTGGTACAAGCCTGGCATTTCCGAATTCCAGTCTGAGGGTCAGAGCTACAATGCCTGGGTGGCTATCAACTCTATCAGGCCCAGCACTTCTCTCAACACAGACCCTTTCCCCCGACCTGTCCCCCACCCTCCCCTAGGTGGAGTTCTCAAGACTTCCAAGGAAGCAGATGCGGAGTCCCTGCAGGCTGGCTGGTACCCACGAACCTCCCTGCCCGCTCGGCTGCGAGCCCTTGACATCCTGCCCCTGGTGGAGCTGGCTGCCCAGTACCGCCAGCAGGCCAGGCACCCTCTTGTTCTGCCCCAAGAGCTTCCCTGCAGTCTGGTCTGCCAGCGGCTCGTGGTCACCTTTACCAGTGTCCAGACAGTGTGGGTGTTGGTGGGCACAGCGGGGATGCCTCACTTGCCCATCACTGCCTGTGGCTTTACTCCCATGGAGCAGAGGGGTGGCATCAAGATGGCCATCCTGCGGCTGTTGCAGGAGTGTCTTACTCTGCACCACTTAACAGTGGAAACCAAGGGGTTGCTTGGGCTACAGCACCTGGGTAAAGACCATACAGATGGCATCTGCCTGAATGTTCTGGTGACGGTGGCTTTTCAAAACCCAGGTATCCAAAACGAGCCCCCGAAGGTTCGGGGTGAGAACTTCTTTTGGTGGAAAGTGATGGAGGAAGACTTACAAAGCCAGCTCTTACAGAGGCTTCAGGAATCATCTGTCATCCCTCTCAATAGATAGGAAGGTGCCATCAGTAAGCAAGGAGCTGGGTGCCTGTGCTCCCTCCACCGTGGCTTTGCCTCCCTCTGAGGGAGGCAGGATAGCAATCAGGGCTCTTGTCGCATTGGGAGCAGGGCAGTTGTTCCTGCTCAGGGGGACTTCCGTCTTTCCTCACTATGGAGCAGGTCCCTACATTGTACCAAAAGGGACAGTGCCTTTAACCAAGCAAGGAATCCGGAGCTCAAGAACCCAGTAGCCCAGAGGCACGAGGGCACTGCTCCCTGAGGGGATGTAAGAACTTTCTGAACCTGAGATGGCATCTTATCATTTTCCACGCCTACCCCTTCTTTGGTAAAGCCTACATCCAGATTCTCAGGCACTTAGAACATGGAGGAGGTGCTGTGAGAGGTCACTCCAGCGGAATGGTCCCCTTGCTCAGTAAATAGGTCTGCTTATTTTGCCTTCCCAACTAAATGTCTCTGTGGGGGAGGAAGTGAGCAGGAAAGGGGGACTGCCCTCAGAAGAAAAGCTCCTCCCCTTGTGCCACTCATAGCCACCCTCGCCATCCTAGACAGCAAGCTGACAAGCGCAGGGGCCCGTCTGCCGGGTATGGGGTGACTGAGGCAGGCAGGTTTCCTGACGTCTGCCATGGGCTGTGTTGGGCCCACTGCTGCCCTCTTCATCCTGCCTGCCAGGGTAGGAAGTGACCACATCCCTTCCAAGGTTTGAGCAGTGAGAACACCAGGGAAGCTTCAGGTGGGCAAGGAGCTGTGAGAGGTTTCCTTCTCCTGGACCCCTGTTTGACCCCTCCTGTGTCACTTTGCCAGGCTCCTGCCTCTGCCTTTTTAACAACTCCAGCCCAAACCAGACCAAAACTTTCTTCATTTACCTTCAGCCCAGCTGAAATCATGGAGGAATAAAGAAAGAACTTTACTAAAATGTAAGGGAAAACCAAAGGAAATGAACAAAGAAAATATATTGTGTATTCCTCGCGGTATCGAAAAGTCCAGATTTCTGATTCTGAGCCGGGAAACACTTCCCTTCTGAGGTAATTACACTCTGGCACTGAAGGACCAAAGTGACCTCAAGACACACACACCCCCACAGCTCCCCATCCTGCCTTTCTTGGTGGCCATCATGTCTTTCAGGCCTCTGGGGCTATGGTAGGAATCCTCCTGTCCCTCCTGAAGATATCTTCCAAATGATGGAACCAAATCCTTCCACCCTCACTTTTTTGTGTCTGAGGGACCCACCAGTCCATATCCATGGTGAAAGGCAATGATCTTTACTCCTCTTATTTAGCTTGTAGTGGTTTTCAACCATGGGTACCCATTAGAATCACCTGGAGAGCTTTAAAAACTGTAGGCCACCCCCAGAGATACCAATTTCACTCATGGAGGGTGGGACCAGGGCATTGGTATTTTAAAAAGCCACCCAAGCGATTCTAACATGCCTTGGGTGAGAACCATTGACCTCGCTCCAGTCTGCAGCTTGTCCTGCCCTGGCGCACTCCTGGTGACCCCCTCAGATGATCCCCACACGTTCACTTGGGGACAAGATTTTTCAACTATCAGGCCCCCTGTTCATCTCTAAAGCAGTCCTACAACTTACCACCTAAGCACCTAAAAAGGAGACTTGCATACAGATGTTCAGATGGCCCACTCCATCGGTGTCTCTGAGGCTAGCTGGCCCTCAGCTGTGGGCCAGCTGAGCAGAAACAGTGTTGCCTGGCCAAGAGAGGCTGCTCCTGGCAGGCACTGAGGAATGTCAGATTCGCACTGCCAGAGCCTGTCTCTGTTTACCACTCCCCCACCCCACCCCACCCCACACCAGTGCTGAAAACGGAACTTAATTTGTCTTCCCTGGGGAGGAAGAAGGGCCTGAATTAGCAGTGGAGCCCTGGGCAGGAGGACGCGAAGGGTGGAGAAGAACAGGGCAGCTGTGTCCACGCAACCACACCATTTATTGCCGCGGTGTCTGGTGGGGGGACACTGTGAGAATGCCAAAGTGCATCGAGGAAGGGTGTGTCTGTGACTGCTGGATGCTTGACTGTTTTCGGAACTGAAGAGTCCAGACCCCATTTGCCCACTGAGCTCTGCTCCCCCGTTCCACGCCAACACCCATGTGTACACACACGCACGCACATGCCTGGTGTCCTTCAGAGAAGCAGTTCAGTCCTCCCCAGCTTGGAGGAATGCGGGAGAGGTAGAGGTCATTGAGTTTCCTCCTCTTTCATGTCACCTCTTGGCAACCTGTGGCTGGCTTCTAGAAGCGGCATGGGCAGGAAAAGGAAGCGAAAGGGGCTCTGGCCTGCCCCTCCTTGCCCAGGAGCAAAGCCAGCAACTGCAGTCCTGCTGTGAGGTAATGCCTGGCGCCGCCGGTGCGTTCCTGCAGGCCGAGACAGATTCAGGCCGGGTGGGGTGGCAGCCCCAGCCGCGGAGGGCAGGCAGGGAGAAGATCACCAGGACTGCTGCCCGTGCCCCAGCCCCTCCCTGCCAGACCTTGGGGGCCTGCAGCCAGGTGGGCATCCTGGCCTCATCTGTACCCTGAGCTCTCCTGCTCCTCTGGAAGAGCACTCCATCGAGAACACTGGAGGTTGCGCCTGGCCTCCCCCGGTCTCTCAGCCCCTCTGCCCAGGTGTTGTGGACCTGCTGAGACGGGTTCAGAGGCGCCAGAGAGAAACCAGCTGGAGTTGGGGCCTGGCACCCAGCCCCAGCTCCCCAGGCCCTCTCCCGCCCTGGTGCAGTTGCATCAAGGTTCTCATTAGCAGCTGCCCCCGCCTGGGCGCGGAGCATGCTTTGGCCACTTGCCATGAGGCGGTTGGGGATTTTGCAACAGTGTCCAGGAGGGCCAGGCAGGAAGAGAGGGCTACCCCTGCCATCCGCTGTACCTTCCCCAAGGGTTAAGAAGGCAGGGGGAAAAAATGTCTCAGCAGCATCTACGGTACCTGGTGTGACAGAGACAGGGCTTCCATGCCCCCATCTTTCTGACCTACGGTCCTGACCAACCTTGGAGCCATCAGCTCACTTCCCTTAGTGCCCTGTGATTGAGTCACAGGTCTTGGCCCAGGCCACAAATGGTCCGTAGAGGCAGGTGACAGACACAAGAACAGAGGAGAGTCTGAGTTCGGGTGCTCACCTGGCCGTTACCCATCTCCCCCCGAGAAGGCCCCAAGGACACCATGCTTCCTGGGAGGTCCCCTCTTTGGCTCATTGACGTCTAGTACCTTGGAGACCCACTTCCTTAAAAGCCCAGCCTGGTGTAGCCAACAAGGCAAGGTCTCTTCGAGGTAACCTGGGAGCAAAAGCCCAGGCCTCCAGAGGCAGAGGTCCCTGGATACAGAGGAGATGGAGCCAAGTCCTTGCCCTGGCAAGAGAGTGGTGGTGGCTGTGCCAGGCAAGAGGCAGCTCCTGGGAAGAAGTGAGGACAGGAGCCTCCCCTCCCGTCATGCTCCTGGCTCAGACATGCCCTTCCGGAGGTGGGGAAAGACACAGGTGGGGACCCTGTGGGGGGAACTTGACGAAAGCAATGGCGGCCAGCTCCTTGCAGAACTCCTCCAGTACTACCACGCCCTGGAGGAGGGTCTGGTGGTCCAGCCTGAGGGAGAGAGCTTAGGGTCATGCCTGGGAGGCAGTGGGTGTGCCCCCAGTGTGACATCCCAATGTCCCCGAGGCATAACCCCGTGGCAGACCCCTCTAAGTGGGGACAGAGCTCAGCAATGGCCTTCTGAACCCTAGCCTGGTGCCCCCCTAGCCTGAAGCATCCCTCCCTCCCACCCAGGGCCTTTCCCCAGGCACCCACTTTCCTAGGTTACTTACTGTTCCCCAGGGACCTGACCCATCAGCTGCTTACGCACCAGGAGCAGTTTGCCTGGGAACTGGGGTACCCTCTGAATTCTCTGCATCAAGTCCCCAATTACCTAGAGCAGGAACAAGAGAGGACTGAGGTGGGGACCAGCGACACGGAAGCTGGGTCTCCTGGCTCTGCTGAACCACAGGACCAGGGCAGTACCTGTGCTTTCCCCTAGAGCTGGCAAGGGTGCCCACTCCTGCAGCCCCCGAGCCCCCTGTCCTGCTCCCCTCCCTTCCTGCCCCACCACGGCACATGCCCTCAGCCCAGGCATCCTTACCCGGACGAGCACAGAGAACAGGCTCCTGCAGCCAGGGGCCAGGTTGATGTAGGGGTCCAGGAGGTACTCGTGGATAAGGGGGTGGGGGAGGAGGGCGAGCCGGGACAGGACTGAGGTCACTTGCAGGTTCAGGCTGTATGGCTACAGGGAACACGGTGGACAAGCCAAGGGTTGGCAGGGGGTGCTGAGCATTTTTGCACTCCCCCAGAAAGGCGCCTGGCCAGTGTGAACGTGTGCGGGGGTGGGAGACTCACGTGATGTGTGTGTGTCATGGATCCCCTGGGGCTGAGGGCCAGAACATGTTAGGGCGTGTGGAGCAGAGGCGAGATGGGGCTTCTCGCCTGGGGAAAGGTCGGGGGTGGGGGAGCGTGGAGCTGAAGAACCGAAGACGCCTCAGCCCGTGGTCGGGCCCTGCTCTCCCGAAGGCCTCCAGAGGCACCCACCTGGGGTGCTCCTATGGGCCCATGCCCTCTGGCTGGGGCCCAGTCCTATTTGCTACCTGTTCCAAAATCCTGGACATGCGGTCAAACAGCATTCGGAAGAAGTGACCCTCAAAGAAAGGCCGCTCCGGCTCGTGGGCGTCCAGGGGCGTGAGAACCTGGGGCCAGCCCCAGGGGGCGACTCGAGAGCTGCACTCCTGGAACTGACACGGGGGAGACTTGAGGGGGAGGCCCATGGTCAGGAGGCCCCAGCACACAGAGGGGCCCACACGAGGAGGTAGGCTCAGGGCCCTTGGCTGGAGCTGGGAGCGTCTAGGGCAGAGCTCGGGGCGGGGGGGGAGAAGGCGAAGTTATCAACCCCACGGCTTTGAGGGGCAAGAGGTGGCTGCTGGGAGAGGCCTTAACACTCACCAGTCCGTAAGCATCGTGGACATATGTGTCATACCCAGTCTCCTCCAGGAAGGCTGACGTCTTGGCTTCCTCAGGAACCAGGCAGAGGAAGCTGAGAGAAACCTCAGTGTGGTAAGGCCCCACTGGTGCCCTGCTCACCCTGTCCCATCTCCACCCAGAGGGAATACCCCTTCCCGGGCTGCGCCCCAGCCGGGCTATGGCTAAAGGCAGAACAGACTCAAGGGGCTCAGAATTCCTGACCTGCCCCTTACCTGTTGACGATCTCAGTCACCGCCGTTTTGCCATCCAAGTTGGTGGCAGGGGCTGGGGGAGGCTTGGAGGGCTGAAAGCCAGAGTCAAGGAGGCCGTCTGTGAAGTAGGGGTCCTCCTCCAGGTCTCTGTGGTCAGAGCACACATGTGTGGCACCAATAAACCAATGAAAGAGCGAGTGGGGGGGTGCTGAGGGCTAGGGTGGGGCCTGGGCCTCCCAGAGGCACCGGGTTTCACTTACAGAGTGTCCTCATAGCTCTCGGGCTCCGGTGAGCCCCGGACCACGTAAAGGCGGCCCTCGAGGTGGCACAGGATCAGGCTACGGACGATCTGCTCATGGGGTTTCTGGAGCAGCTCCTCAAACAGCCGCAGCGTGGCAATGCTGATCTGGGGCAAGAGGGGTCAGCATGATGCCCGTTCCTGTCCCGGCTTCTGGGTGTGCCTGGGAGTTGCTCACCCACATAAGAAAAGTACCCCTAGGAGTGAGTACCCCTTCCCCGGCAGGTTTTTGGGGGGCATGGATGGGTGTTGGCCCGGGAATCAGAAGTCAGGCTGTTCCCAATTCCAGTACTGATTGGATGGGTTATATCAGGTGAGCCAATTGGCTTCTCTGTGCCTCAGTTTCCATGTCTGAAAAATGGAATATTGGCCTCACCTGCCTCACAGTGTGGCTGTAAGCCTCAAACACACCCAATGAATATAAAAGCAGTTTGCAAGATATAAAGTGCCATTACAAGTATGTGATCACAGAAAATTACCATGTGACATAAGCAGTTTGGCTGCCAATCACCGCGTCACTGTTTTTTTGTTTTTGGGTTTGTTTTTCTAAGTGGAGTTATCCTGCCACCTGTTGGCGGCCCAGCGACCGCTCAGCTCGAGCTGGGAATCGAACCNCCGCTCTGGACTTCTTCCTACTGTCCTCGTGGATTGGGGCTCTCTGTCAAGAGATCTTCAGTCTAAAAGGTACAAATTTCCGGTTATAAAATCAGGGCGGGGGAGGGGGGTTCAATGTTTCAAAGGCAGAACGACCTGGAAAGCTAATGAAAATGGGAGACGTCAGGAAATCCTTTTGACAGGGGATGGGGTGGGAGCTGGTGGAGACGAGGGCCCTCCCATCTCACCTCATCAGATAGATGGTCGCAGTGCCTGATGAGGTGAGTGCACAGAGTGCAGGGGCTGTCCTCCGGGGCTGCAGGCTGCTGCTCCGTGCCTAGGAGGAAAGTCACGGCCTCTCGAAGCAGTGCAGGCGAGCGGAGCTGGCGCAGCAGCGTTGTGAGCAGGGCAGTGGCGGTCAGGATGCTCTGCTCAGACCTATGCGGAGAGAGCACTGAGTCGGGCCAGGGTGTGTGTGTGTTGGGGGTCGGTCAGAGGGGCAGGGAGTGGACGAGTGTGGGGTGGCAGAACCCTTTTCTTGTTTCCTTACTTCTCTGGCTAGTGTCTCTCTGCTTACTCCCATCCATCTTGAGGTCTTAGGGTCCCACGGCGGAGGCCTTTACTAGCCCACAATGGCTCTGAGCCATGTGTGTATAAGGGGGCAGGCCTGGCCAACATGAACTGAGGGAGAGTCTACAGACTCAACTGACTCTGGCCAAGGAGACAGGAAGGGGCAGGTGGGGGTGGGCGGTTCATACCGAGGTCACATCTGTGGGGACTGGACACAGACTTACACGTGCAGGAGCTGGGGCTGCAGAATCTCCACGAATAACTTCTCAGCCACAGCCTTCGCCAAGGCATCTGCGACCACCTGGGCACCAAAGAGCATGTCTTAAGCACATTTACCTCCCGCCTCAGTTTTCTGCTGAGAAATAACTGTCCTGGCACAGTGTCCAACATAATAGACAGAGGGTCCCTGCTAATCTGGAGCCCTGCCTGGCTCCTGAGAGACCCACTCAGTCCTCGAGGTGGAGACAGCGAAGAGCGCAGCAGGAAGTACGGGACACCTGCCCCTGCTCACCGTGTGTGCCTCCATGATGAGATGGTCGCAGTAATCAAACCAGCCCAGAAAGGCAGCCAAGGCCTCCTTGCCAGGGAAGGAAGCCTCATCGGATGGGGCGCTGGGTAACCTGCGGGAGAGCGAGGGAGGCACTGTGAGGCCAGCCTCAGCTCTGTTCCGGGAGCAGAACCCTTTTTCTCTCTGCCCTGGAAACTCTGTTGCAGGGCAGGGGGTGTTGTGGGGTGGTCAGTTCTACTGGGGGCTTTGTGGGCAGAAACAAAAGTGACGCTTCCCTGGAGAGTGGGAAGGCGTTTGGGATGGGCTGTAACCTCTGGAAGAGGGTGGCCAGCAGGGGTCCCCACCCCTCCTGGAAAACAAGAGGAGCTGGCTACCAGGGGACAGGCAGGGCTTCCAGCCACTGAGGATGCAGCCCCGCCTGCCCTGGCCAAGCGCCTACCTCCAGCTAATGCCCTCTAAAGTAGCAATGTCTGCGGGATCCAGGAACGTGGGCATGGACTGGTACAGCTGGCAAAGGTGCTCAACGATTGCTGGGCAACAGGGGCTGCTCTGCACGAGGTAGGTGGCAGCTGCCTGGGAAGCCACGCTAACCAGGAGCAACAGGTTCTCTTGGGCCTTCAGGGCCACCCGACCTTTCTGGGGGACACAGGTGCAACTTCAGGGACATACATCTGAGTCCCCAAGTCCCCTCCCAGCAATTTTCCGCCCCCTACCCCCACAGCATGCAGCAGCTTGCACCTTGCTCTTGCACAAGCCAATCAGGGAGGTGACCAGGTTGTTCTCCCCAATCCCTCCACTGGGCTCCTCGGTCTCAGCAGGCAGCTGCGTGGTCAAGGCCCCGGCTCCACAGGGACCCGTGTCAGGAGCCTTGCTGTGAGGGTGGTCCTTGTCTTCGATGCTGGCCATCTCTCCAGGCAGGGCGGTGGGTTCTCTGGATACCTGCTTCCTAGCCACCGTCTTTTTACCCTGCAAAGGAGGCTGGATAAGGCCTGACTGCGGTGGAGAACAGTCCCCATGCTGCCCCCTTGGGAACGCAGGATGTGCTGGCTACCCGGGCCTCGGCATAGGCTGCCTGAGCGCCTCCCCGGGAACCTGTTCCACCTCTGCTTCCTCAGAAGAGCCACGGGTGTGGGCCCTCTGGCTCCTGTTCCCCAGAGGAGCTCACTTCCAGGATGTAGGTGAGCAGGGCTGGGTCCTGCTGGATCTTGGAGCAGAGGACAGTGGTGAACTGCACTTCCTCCTTTTCTGTGAGGGACCCAGGAACTGTCCCACCAAGCCGGAGAAGTTTCTGGAAGGGGAGCAGGATAGAAACAGAGGGGACTGGGTGGCAGGGAAGAGAGGGGGCCTCACCCCCAGCCCTCCCTTGGCTTCCTGGTCCCTCACCTGCACAGGCCTGTGGACGCTGAGGTAATGCAGGAGAGGGTGCTGCACCTGGGCCAGCACCTTGCTGAAGAACTGGAACACCTGCTGCCGCATGCCTGGGGGGTACTGAGGGCCAGGGAAAAGGGTGCCTGTCAGGAGAGGAAGCAGTGACCCCCGCCTGGGGCACTGGCCCTGCGCAGTTCCTTCCGCGCTGCTCAGGGGGCACTTTCTCGGCAAAGCTCCGCCCGTCTCTGCTGAAACTGGTCTCCCCTGAGCCGACAGTCCCCCTTTCCACTTTGTTTTTCTCCATAACCTTGTCGTTATCAAACACAGGACATGTGGGCTCCTTCGTCTTAATCACTGCTATGTCCGCAGCGGCTAGGGGACAGCCTGGCACATGGCTGGTCCTTAGCACATCTCGCTGAATGAATGAAAGGAAGCCTTTCCTCCACCTCAGCAACAGCGAGACTAGGACAGCAAAGCAGATAAGCAAGGGAAGGCGGTAGGGGATGTTACGGGAGCCGGCCCCAGTGTTCCTGCACCCCCACCCTCAGTGTCAGGACTGCGAGGAGCATAGCTGGAAGGGCCTGGAGCCCAGAGGCCCTGGCTGGGATGGAAGCTTCCAGAGGCACCGGGGTCCTGCCTACCTCGGCCTTGCCCAGGGTGCACAGGGTCTCCAGGATCTTGTGTTGCAGCAGGTACTCGAGGCACGGCCCGGCCTCGCTGGCCGCCTGCTGCCTCTCCTCGTACACCAGGATGTCCAGCATCTGCTTCAGCCTCCAGGGGATATCTGTCTTCTTGGCTGGGGTGTCTTCATCTAATAGAGATTCAGGAAAAAGGGGGAGGAAGATGGCACCCTGGCTCCATGGGGTCAAGCCCATGGGGGCTGAGGGGGGTGAGGGGTGGCTGAGGGCAACCTGGAGTGAGGCCAAGTGAACAGTGCACGTCAAGCAAAGGCCAGAGGAAATGGAAGTTCACAGCTGATGCCTTCTGGAACGAGGCCCAGGATACAGCTCTGACTGATAACGTGTGCATGCCCAGCACTTTATCAGGGGGAAGAGCGTCATTTTTTTCTCCAAACCCTGGGGCCTGCAGAAGGATCTTGGCTAGGCCTGCAGGCCAGCTCTGGGTCTGAATGAGAAGCCATGGGCTCAGGGGTCTGTCATATAATTTAGGAGCTGTCTTCTGCACCTTCCCTACAGATAACCTCCTGGGTCCTGTTTATGTCCCTTTGACACTCACGGAAGGCAATACTCTATTTTTTTTTTAAAGCAGGAAAAAAAAAACCCCGTGCACAACCATGGGTTCAGACTCAAACCTGCTGCACCATATGGCGGTCCTGATTAAGAAGCTGGTTAGTGGGGCTTTCTTAGAGCTGCAGAGCGTAGAGTATTATTTTAAGTCTTGGTACTTCAGGACAGGCCTTGGAGCACCCCCTAGCTTTTCTTGAAAGCAAGTTTCTTAAATAAGGCAGCCTGCCTCACCTACTCCCACACCTCTGGTATAGGGACTGTTCTGGAAATTAACAGATTGGGCCCAGGGGAAGCCCCAGGTGGACCCGAGTCCGCTCTGGACTTCTTCCTACTGTCCTCGTGGATTGGGGCTCTCTGTCAAGAGATCTTCAGTCTAAAAGGTACAAATTTCCGGTTATAAAATCAGTCCTGGGGATGTAATGTACAGCATGGTCACTATAATTAATAATACTGTGTTGGACAGTTGAAAGTTGCTAAGAGAGTAGATCTTAAAAGTCCTTATCACAAGAGAAAAAACTGTAACTATGTGGTGACGGATGTGAACTAGACTTGTTGTGATGATTTCACGACCTATCCATATATTAAATCAATATGTTGTACAACTGAAACTAATACGTCAATTTTCTCTCAATGGGAAAAAAAAGAGATCATCAGTCTAATGCTGTCGTTCTCAACTGGGGGCGATTTAGCCTCTCCCCGCCCCAGGACATTTGGCAATATCTGGAGAGACATTTATGGTTGTCACAATGAAAAGGGGGGCTACTGGCCTCTGGTGGATAGAGGGGCCAGGGTTGTAAACACACTGCAGTGCACACTCACAACAAAATGTGAGCCAATCCAAATGTCCACAGTGCCAAGGCTGAGGAACCTGGTCTAACAGAGGGCTCAGAGGGTCCCTCAGAGTATCCCAGGCCACTTTCTAATTTCTTGGGCTAGTTCAGGCTAGAAATAAAGCCTTCAGGAAAGGTGTAGGCTGGAATCAACGCCCCCTTCCCCCGCCCCCACACTCCCACCCCGTCTGAACTCCAGGAGGTGAAAGCTAAGGACGCAGGACAGGGCGACCGACAACTAGTGTGCATCCTCCAATACCAGCACACAGACTTCAGAGCAGCCAATCAGATTCCGCCCCCCAGTGGTGAGCCTGATGGGCTCAAATGGCCCACGGCTTTGACTCTCTGGGGTATAAGCTTGGGAGAAAAGCCCAGGCACATTACATGTTTTTGTTTTCCTCCTAACCCTGACTCTACAAGGGAAATGCCTTCTAAGTTGGCTCAGGGAAAAGAGGAATTGGTTCAGTTTCTTTTCTTTTAATCAGTAAGTCCTAGACACAGGCACCTGATGATGGAAGGCCTGGATGCTCTACGCAGCTGGAAGCTGGGGGCAAGTGGAGCTCAATCTCTGCCTTGCAGAGCAGGCCAGCAAGACCCCAGCCTCCTTGTCCCCACTCCCAGTTCACACAGCGCCTCTCCCAAGGGTCAGGGTGGGGCCAGCCCCACTCTGAACTCCTAGGCAGCAGATGTCACCTTCCCCCAAACGCTTGCATCCCTGAGCTACATGGTGACTCTGCCCATACCTTTCTCCCAATTCCCTGCAGGAGAGACCAGGTCCTACCTGTGCTTTCGATGTAGTAGTGCGTGATGCCCTTCCAGTGCTCCACGAATGCCTCCAGCAGGTCAATGCTGGGCTCCCGCTACAGAGAGAGCAGAGACACGACCTGTGTGATCACCGGCACTGCTGCCACCAGCACACATCAGAACAGACATTCCACCACCACCATCTACTAAGCGTCGGGTCAGTGCTAGGCCTTGGAGGAGGTACTGCGATCCTGGGTTCTCAAAAGGAATAGTAACGTGTGTGTAGGAAACACATCCATCCACATTGTTTCCATCTCTTGCCAACAATCTCCTGGCCCTTCTCCCCAGACCCCCCTCCCTGCCGGAAATGCTGTATTCCTGCCACATGTCATGATTCCACGGTCCCTGTCCCAGAGGAGCTAAGAATGTTGGTGGGGGAAACAGACGCAGAAACAAATCATTTCAATACAACATGGTTATGCTAAAATAGAGGTACACAGGAAAACAGAAGTATGCCCCCCAAACAACAAGAGCACAATGATACAGGTGGAACATGTAGTGAAGACAAAGCTTTCAGGTCCCTCTGAAACTGGGAGTCTGTGAAAAGCTGTGTTTAAGGCCACGATAGGCTCAGTTCAGCCAGATGGATAATATTAAGAAAGGGCCTTCCTTGCAACGTGCGTGCAGCTTTTGTCCAAGGCTGCAGGCCATGCAGCCCTAACTCCTTAGCTAGCTGAGCTCCCGTCCATGCCTCCTTCAGCTCCTTCTAGTGGCCTTGGGGGGATTCTGACTCTGCTATGAGCAAGCCCTAAACCTCCCCTTTCCCAGAAGTGTTCTCTTCATCTCCTTGGCCTTGAACTGATAACCACCACTTTCCCTAAAAAAGGGTGTTTCTTCTCTTTCCTTGCAGAATGAATGTTTGCAGGAGAAAAATGCATAATCAGATAGTCCCTCCCCACAGGTGCTCATTTCTACCTCTCAGTCTTTGCTCAGGCCACTCCTCTGCCCAGGAGGTCTTGTGCCAGCTATACTTGTCTAGATCGTAATGGCCCCCAGTGAGGTCCTGCTGAGGGCCACCAGCTCTACAAAGGCCTCTCCGGGGTTCCTGAATGCATATCCCTCTAACTTCCTGCTTTATTGCACCACTGAACTGAGTATCTCCTCCTTTAATATATTCAGGAAATATCTTCTGAGTGCCTATTACACACAAGACACGATGCTAGATGCCACAGGCAGTATGAGGATGTCTAAGATCCAGTGCCATAAAGGAGAAGAGGATACAAAACTACACTGAGTAACTCAACTACAGGAAGCAGTGTGAGAACACAGAAGGGGTGAAAAGTGACCTCTGGGAAAAGAGGGCTCCCTTCCAACTGGCTGGAACAGAGAAGGCTTTACTGAGGTCACGCCGGAACTAAAACTTGAAGAACTGGGTTAGATCTCGACAATTAGAGATGAAGGAAAGACATTTCTTGCAGAAGGCACTCTGCAAAGTGTGTCTGGGGCAAGGATGGATTGACAAGTGTAGGGAGCCTTGAATGCCAAGCCAAGAAGTCTGGATTTTTTTTTTTTTCAGGCAATGGGGAGCCGGTCAGTGACATCTTCTGAGCAGTGTTTTAGGAAGAGTCATCTGGCGGTTGTGTGTAGGAAACAAAGGCAAGAAGGATGTTTAGAAGGTCATTAGGACAGGGGGAGGAAGCAATAACACTGAAGCAGAGGCCGTGACACACTCCCCCTGCCTTGGCTGCCCAGGCAATCTTGTCTTCTTTCAAAATTATAATAGTTGTGGGGACCATGGCCCTTACCAGAGTGACATCTCCCACAGTCGTTCCAAACACACTGTGTATGTGTTGTGACCGTATCTTATCATGTTCTATGTGCTGCTATTATTATTGGGTTAGCCGTCATCTCTTCTACTAGTTTGTGAACATCCCAAGGGCCAGGGTTCTGTGTTTCAGAATCTCTCTGCCCCTAAAGGGGCACACACATACTGTGTTTCCCCTAAAATAAGACCTAACTGGAAAATAAGCCCTAGCATGATTTTCAGGGTGCTCGTAATATAAGCCCTACCCCAAAATAAGCCCCAGTTAAGATCATCAGCGAGACAAGACTGTATTTGAATATAGACTTTTGTACATGAATAAATGAATAAAATGCATCTGTTGGAGCAAAAATTAATATAAGACCTGGTCTTATTTTCGGGGAAACATGGTAGTGACTACTCATTAATAGCTACTAAAAAGGGCCGGCCGAGTGGTGCAATGGTTAAGAGTTGGCTTGGGACGCCAGAGGACCCTGGTTCGGATCCCACATATGAGGGCTAGTGACACTGCCCTCTACAGCTAAGATGCTGAACAACAGTTCAACCTGCTGGAGCTGGGCTGCTGTGAGTTGCCGGCGACAGCATAGGCTGCAGCCCCTGCCGCAGTGGGCTGCCATTGGTTACTGTGTGTAGCCAGCAGCCAGGTGAGCGGCCAGCAGCTGTGAGCAGTCGTTCAGAAGCTGGCAACTGATCTGACTCGCCCAGAAAGAGCGCAATGATGGTGCCAATTTGGGCCAGTGAAGCAACGACCTCTACAACTAGACTGAAGAACAAAAGGACAGCAATTTGTCTTTTCCCCTTCCCCCAATTCCCCAGCGCTGTTCCCATGCCCCCAAGTCCCCAATAAAGATCTTTAAAAAAAAAATCTACTAAAAAGCACAGCAAGCTCCTTAAGAAACCTTTCCATAGTTCCTTGTCTCTTGGAAAGCCTTCTGACCTTTGACCAACACTACAATTATCTCACAAGTCTGTGATGGGGGCTCCCCCCCAAAAAAAGAATCCATTAAAAATAGGAGAAACAGGAGAACACAGGTTAGCCAAAACAGACCATTAGAGAGAAGAAAGCAGGGGTATAATCTCTACCTGAGTCTATTATTAGCTACTCTAACTCCCGACCAAAGAAAGTGTACCAAATGATTTATTTTCAAAGATAAGGACTGCTATTCTATTTGGTCAGAAGAGGGCAGGAAAGAACACGCTTCCTCCTTAACTAGGAGCCAAGCAGCTTGCTGGGGTCTTAACCTGATGACTAGCCTAGGGTGGAGACCTATGCCTAAAATGTGGGAATACAGGGGAAAAGGGGCTCCCATTGCTCCCCGATGACCACACAGGGCCAGTCAAACATCTAGGGTATCGCCTATACGCTGTCCACTGAAGGGGTCTAAGATCACCTGCCTAAAAAGTATCTCCCTTGACCACCAATATCGCTTTCAGCCTCTTGAAATTCCTGCATTAGAGGCATTAGAAAAAGTCACTTCTTAAGGCTAAGGTCTTGTTTGTCACTCCCAGCGCACCCCCCACCCTCACCCCACCCCCACCCTTGTGTATGGCGCTTTCCCCGAGAGGCAAGAAGTAGTTTGTCAGATCACTTTTCTAAGAGGACAGTCTTGATTGGGGACAGAGAGGAGGGGAAGGAGAGACCCTGTGGAGCCCCTCCCCAGGGAGGATGATCGGAGGCCCCTGGACATCTGGGGAAAGTACGGCTGGGGGCAGCTGGGGCCCATGGGGAAGGCGCTTTTCACTTTCTTCACAGGGTTAAGACTGACACCGTTCTCATTCATAACAAGCTCTGATTCCGGGTGGCGGGGAGGAAGGGAGTGGAACCCAAAGTTGTTTCTCCTGAGAAAATCTGATACACTAAACTGATCAATTAGGAGAGGGTTTATACTGAGACAAAAGAATTAACTTGACATACAGATTCTTGGCAGGGTTCCTTTAAGGACAGGGCCTCGGCCCACACTATCCACATGCACGTTTACCCAGCTGAATGAAGTGAACTTACTGGGCCACCTCTGACCAGCCTTCACCCCCAACAGGAAATGGCAAAAACACAAACTCGGACGGAAGGTGAGAAGTCCGTCTACGCTTCCCCACCGAGCTGCCCGCGGCCCCACCATGGCTGGCCGTCCCTGACTCAAGACTCTGTGTAACGCGAGACAACAGGCTGGAAACCTGCAGAAGGCTGCTTCCTGGGCCAGGTCCCACCCCCACGCCCCACTGTCTGTTTACCCTTCCTGGGGACTTGGAAGTCAGGGCCTTCACTCCCCGCGTGGAGGTTAAGGGCATGTTGGGCCTGAACAAGGTCTTGGCGTGGTCTGGGGGCTCCGAGAGAGGAAAGGGGCAGCTATTTTTAAGTCCAGGGGACCAGAAGGGAGAAGCTTGCTGGAGGAAGGCAAACAGAGGCCGGGGGAAGGGACTCAGGGAGTTTGGGGGAGAAACTACTGGGTGACAAGGGGGCACCCAGGCACCGGGGAGTTGGGAACTGGAGGAGAATGGGGGGCAGGAAAAATAAACAGGAAGCAGTTTGGGAAGAAGGGTCAGGGAATGGAGCGGTCTGGGAATACGGCGCGATCGGGAAAGAAGCCACTGGGAGCAGGGAGCGCTGTGCGGGCGGGCGCGACAGGACCGGGCGAGGAGGCCGGGAAGGGCGCTGCGGCCCGCTGGGGGTCCCCTCCCCGGGGCGGCCTG